AAATTTAAATATAATATAATGACAATAGAGTTAAGAGATTTCAGAGACACATAACCATTATTACAATAGATTTGTAATTCAAATACCGTTATTAATCAATACTATTGGGCTTTCTTTGTCTCCTTTTTTGTAGACTTTGCGGTCGAGTTCTTGTCCTCAGTCTTGCCGTCTTTATCGGCCGACGGGTGGTCTTCATAGCTGTCAACGAGAGGTAATTAATGAGTCCTTTGATACTCAAGACTAAGAGTGAAATACAAACCGGAAGAGAGCTTTAATGTCACCCCTAATCAAAGCGACAGAAAGTGGAAAACTAATACAAAAGGGCACTAAATAGAGAAGCGCCGGCTGTGCGTGTTTGAAGTATGCCATCACTACGATCGTCAACACTAGTCCCAAGATATACGCCACGAAACTGGTGTAGAAATACACGTTTCCTTTCCTCTTCAGACTAATTGACAAACAAACCAATTAATCAATCAATCGATTCAATCATTCATTGAAACCAATGTCCAAACCCTAACCTCACGTCAAACCGCAATAACAGAGCGATAAAAATGCCGGGAATCACGATATCTCCCAACCCTAACATCGCAAAGTGGGTCCCATTGACTCCATTCTCGAGGAAGTCTTGAGGAAAGACCAGTTTAATGGGCGCTTCGAACGACTTGGCGACCGTCACCATGACATCGGTTCCAAAGACCCAGAAGACGTCGTACACGAAGAGTCCGCCGAGAAGTATACATCCGGTGACGATATTATTCAAATGCAATAACTCGACGCCATTGACAGCAAATGCCAGACCAAACAGATTGTTTGCGATCCAATGCTAACAACACATCCAATCGATAATCAATACAATGGTAACCAAACAATGGATAAGACATACCTTTTTGAAGAGATACCAAACGCCGAGAACCGCACAGACGGCAAGTGTCAGGAAATCTCTGGAATCGAAACGATAGTCTATTAGAGACTCCGTTTTGTCATCATTTCCTTTATTGAAGATCAGATGGTAAGGAATTACTGGAAATGATTTTGGGATCAATCCGTTCACAATTGGACTCAATATGTGAGCCATAGCCAGGACTCCGAGGAGAAAGAAATAACCGGTGAGTAAGAGATTGATGTACTCTTTGGAGAACACCTAAAGCCATGTGAAATGCCATCCAATGAGACAATGCATGTGTGGACACAAGCAGACAAACCTTGAAGAAGATATAGAGGCCGAAGAGGGCGGCGCTGGCGATGAGTGGAAACATTGCGGCGTCTTTGTGGGTCATCGTCTCCGGCTGTTCCCCCGACTCCTACAACACAAACACAACTTATAGTCATTGGTGTCACCCAATGGATCAGTGGATCCAATACTCGTTGCTGTTTGTGATGAATCACTGAACGGAAGGCGCCGAAGAAGATGGGGATCAAAGCCATCGTAATGAGTGATCCGTACGCGCAGAGCATCCCTTCCGGCGTTGACTTCACTTTATCGGTGCTATTGTTGGCAATCGTTTCATCGATTGTGGCGTTTAGTTGACT